AGCTGGGGTGTACGCGCAGCTCCGACCCGCCGGTGGCGCTGGTGGTGTTCAGGGCCCCGGGTCGAAACCTTTTTATATCTCGGGACTGGGGCCCCACTGAGATGCATGCACGGAGTATTGCATAAATATTATGATTTGTTTTATTTATATTTTTTGTTTCAACAAAAAAGCCGCTGCTTTCCTCTGCTTTCCCTCTGCTGAAGATGAACTGCAGCTGCCTATACACCCCGTGGCCGTGACGCCGCGACGGTTGGATGCAAGTTGCATCCTGCGTTCGTCGGCGCTCCCTTTTTACTTTTTTATTTTCTTAAAAGTATTTAATTTATATATTTAAATGTTTATTTTGTTTATTTCGACATGTTTCCTTCTTTTCTGGCCGCAGAAGTCGCCGCTTTCCCCCCCCACCGCATCAGAACGAGAGGTGAGGTATTTCAAAGGAAAGCAAAAACTTTTGCGTTTCATTCTTTTTCTTTTCATTCAATTCAGAATACAGTGAAAGGGATTTCATCATCTTTTTCTTTTTCTTTTTGTTTTTCTACTCTGGCCTATCGCGGGTCTTCCTCTTGTATTTCTTCTTTTTCTCCTTCTGTCTCACCAAGAAGGTCGTTTCCTTTTGGTTTTTCTTCTGTTGTTTCATCGTCTTCTCCTTGTATTTCTTCTTTTTCTCGATTAAATTCATTTTCTCTTTTTCCTTCTGCTCCCTCTCTGACTCCTTCTGTTGCTAGCCCTCTTCTCCCTCCTGTAGTTTCTTCTTCTCCTGCATCTTCTTTTCCTTTTTCTTTATTTTCTTTTTCTTTATTTTCTTTTTCTTTATTAGATATTCGTTGTGCGTATCACCACTCATCAGAGTTGCATCGTTTCTTTACAAATAGATATTATAAGAAGATATGTCCACAGTGTAAGCGGCCAAACATTCTTCCTCTTTCTCGTTGCTGCTGCTGCAGCACACCACTAAAAGATAAAAATATAAAAAGTATAATAAAAGACCCTTTATGTGAGTTAGCTGTATCTAGATACCATAACCACGATCAATCCTCGACGCTAAAAAATAAATATATTTCACTTCATTTCAATAAAAAAAATAAATATTTTTATAAACATGAATTTCTCCATCAGCTGCTTACAGGCCTACCAAGACCCCTAGAAGGATCTGCATGCTTCTCTGCTGCTGCTCCCCCTGCAGCAGCAGCAGCAACAACAACACCAGCAGCAGCAGCAGCAACAACAACAGCAGCAGCAGCAGCAACAACAACAACAGCAGCAGCAACAACAGCAGCAGCAGCAGCAGCAGCAGGAGCAGCAGCTGGTGAGTATGTTGAATTGTATCGTTGCTTTGACTTTATAATTATTTTTTCTCCTTTTCCTTCTTCTTTTCTGCATTTGTTTGCCGCCCCGAGAGCTTCTCTTTACGATATAAAACAACTAAGAAGGAGACATATACCGCTGCTGCAGCAGATGAAGACAAAGACCCTAGCTTTCATTGATTTGCTGCTGGAGCTGCTGCTGCAGCAGCAGCAGCAAACAGCAGCAGCAGCAGCAGCAGCAGGAGGTGGTGTGAGTTTAGACACTGATGAGAGGATAAAAAAGAAAGAAAAAAATAAAGAGAACGAAGTCAAAGAAGAAAAAGAAACAAAAAACAAAAACATTTATAATATTTATAATAAACAAAACAAACAAAAACTGCTGCAATCGACTCTGTTTTTTTTTAATTATCCTGCAGAGTATAGACAGCTATGCATGCATGCGCTCTGCCCCCCCCTCAACAACCCCACCATACTAACACCCCCTTTCTTTTATTCTTTAGATAAAACCATCACCGACCTAAACAACTGCGGCGCTGTACAAACCTTCTCATCCGCACACATACTCAAGTAGGGTTTAGGGTTTAGGGTTTAGGGTTTAGGGTCTAGGGTTTAGGGTTTAGGGTTTACGGTTTAGGGTTTAGGGTTTAGGGTTTAGGGTTTGGGGTTTTGTAGGGTTTGAGGGTTTAGGCTTGGGGTTTAATATTTAGGTTCTGCATTCTAGGGTTTAGGGTTTAGGGTTTAGGGTTTAGGGTTTAGGGTTTAGGGTTTGTGGTGGTGTTAATATAGAGCTGAGGTGTACATACACCTCACTGCATTCGCGGTGTTTATTTTATTGTTTGCTGCATGCATTCTAATAAATAAAAAAATAAAACAAAACAAAACAAATAAAATAAAAATAAAATAAAAATAAATAAAATAAAATAAAATATAAAATAAAATAAAATAAAATAAAATAAAATATAAATTTGTGTGTATCTCTGTTCTCTGTGGTGCAGCGATGAAGAGGATTGGGGTGTACAGGCAGCTCGAGCAGCCGGCGACAGTATGCAGCATTTGTTGGGTTTTTCTTCTCCTTTATCATAAAAAACAAAAATTTAATTTTATTTTATATTATATTTCAGGGTTTAGGGTTTAGGGTTTAGGGTTTAGGGTTTAGGGTTTAGAGAAGAAATAAACAACAAATATATTAAAGGGCTCGTGGCGTTTCTCCTCGGGTGTACGTACAAACCCCCCATGCATGCGCATGCATGAGTATGTACACCAGAGGCTGCTGCTGCTGCTGCTGCTGCAGCAGCAGCAGAAGCTGCAGCAGCAGCAGCAGGAGCTGCAGCAGCTACAGCAGCAGCAGCTGCTGCAGAAAAAGCAGCTACGGCACCTGTAGCTACAGCAGCTGCAGCAGCAGCTGCTGCAACAGCGGCTGCTGCAGCAGCAGCTGCAGCAGCAGCAGCAGCTGCAGCAGCAGCAGCTGCTGCTGCTAGTGTGGGGTGTATGCATGCACGAAAGCAAGCAAATTTGTTGCTGCTGCTTTTTTCGTTTTTATATAAAACTGTAAAATGCAGTTTTTAGGAC